GAGAGTCTCGCTGCTCCCAGTCATGGATGCCAACATGCTGAAGGAGCGCTCCTGTCCCAAGCAGGGCCCCACAAGGACGCTGCGACTTGGCAACTGGGGAAAGCGTAAGGAGATGTGCCAAGGCGGAGAAGGTGGCTTGGAAGAAAGTGAAACGAAAGCGGGAAACTCCATTGGACCTGCCTTGCAGTTTGAGCGGCACTGGTTGAGCTATGGCTTGACCAACCACGAAAAGGTTGAAATCTTGAGAGATGGCCACGGTTCAGGCATCTGACACTTCAAGGTCCTCTTCTGAGCCTGCAAGACATGGGCAAGGGGCAATAGAGGGCATATCACTCTTTTTCTCGAACAAGGCTGAATTGCGTTGTCTGAGATCTGGTGAGCCATGTGCCGTTCGGCCACATGTCCTCCGGCATTGGAATTTATTGAATATGTGGGCACACGGGCAAAATCTTGAGCCTTTGGCTCATGCCGCTGATGCCCTCAACTCTTTCACTGACCTTCTAAGGCCTCCAAGTCTTCCAAGGCTTCTGAGGCTTTTGGTGCTGCATCATTCAAGCCATGCTTGCCATGCTCACAATGTCCCTCATGCTTGGGATGGTAGCCACACTCGCCATCCTCATCTTGGCCTGGCGTCCCTGCTGCCAAATGATGAGCCAACTCAGCCAATCGGGGCTCCTCGTCAGCCATGTTTGGAAGAATTGCCTTCAGCTCTTGGATCACCCAGCGGCTCCCCTTGAGCAAATCGTCTTCCACATCTATTTCAGGTTCCCCTGCTGATCGGGCAGCTTCTTCCTCTGCACAGCGGCCTTCCTCCGCGACCAGCCAGCACACCTCACCTGCAAACCTCACCAAGCGCTGCGCACGGCAAAGGTTTAGGTCACACGCATGGCAACGTCGTCGCTGAGAGCCCAAACGAATCAAGGTCACAAGCTCCTTCACTTCTTCCCGTTTTCGACGTAGAAGGCGAACACGCCTTTCATTCTCGGCCTCCACCTGAACAATTGCCTCCACTAGTTCGTCCTCTGGAAGTTCCAGGACTTCTTTGCTGGGCAGCCCTTTGGTCAAGGCTGCCAGGTTGGCCCCATATTTCAAGCAGACTTGTGAGAAAAGCTCCTCCTCACGCCCCTCATATTTGGAAAACATGAAGGCTAAGTCTCCCAACATCGATGGATTTTTCTCCTGATATACTTTGGTGACAAGCATTTGGTACTGTTGCGCGGTGAACTGAGTGAACACTACATCTTCTCGGAGCTCTTCGAGCTCGTCATGCTCTGTTTCACTTGCCCTCTTCAGAATGGATTTTTCCGAGCGCTGCTCCATGGCGCAAGGTCCACCGCAGCATGCTGATCTTGGAATAGTAAGTATTTAACACTTCTTCAGGAGACTCATGCGACTCACGAGTTCAGTATGGCTTGGTCGGGACCTAGTGATCTAGTGGCCTGGGGCAATACAAACCAATGACGCATATGTACCAGTTTTTGAATTCTGCTACATTCCATCGATCCCAAAGCCACGTAGCCACACACCTGGAACAAGCACTCCTCACGCCAAGGATCTCTCTACGCCTGTCTGAGAAATCGAAAATACAAGTTTGCAAAGCGCACCTAGCAAGCCTTTCTCCTGTGCGCGTCAACTTTAAAAGGGCAACCCATCCGCGGCTCTTTGCAAGCAAGTGTGTTTGTGGGGTTTCCCGTCTCCCTCGTTGCTCCTGCAGCATGTGGTGGAACAGCTCATTGCCACCAAGCCTGAGAGCAAGAAACTTGCAAGAATCCTCGAATTTCCGCCAGGTGCGTGACTCACATGACCCTGACACACAGGTTCTGACTCCATTGATCGAAGCTGTTCAGGCTTCCAGGCATCCATTGTCCTTGGGAAAGTCTTGAACAGCTTTAGCATCTCTCTCAAGTGTCCTGACATCTGATTCGGGGTACCCACAGCGATCGCACAAAGCTGATGTGGACTCCGAGGCCACGGTGCCTGCCCGAGCAAGCTAAGCCTTAGCTTTCAACGATCAACTCACGTGGAATTCCTTTGCATTGCGACATTCATGTAGGTTCATGTAGGTTCTGAGGTAGGTGCAAAGAAAAACCCCGTTGGAAACCTTGCAGTCTCACAGCAACAAAGCAGCTCTCGCCGTGCCATGGTTGGCTTGAGGCCCATGCGGAAGCCCATTCGGGCCTATCCGCGCCGCAGTCCACACCTCAAGCTTGAAGGTAGGGACGGAAGGACTCCGAAGCTGCAATCATACAACTTTTTACAATGCAAAGTCATGCATCTTCAATACAGACATGCAGAACTGGACTCATGCATTTTGGAATTGTGCATGGTTTCAGTCTCAGCCACATTTGGCATCTGCAGGGCGGTCGCGCCGGAGCGCCTGCGGATGAAGTCTCTACAAAGAGCTGAGATGTCAAGGATCGAACTTCAGACCATTGCCTCCCAAAATCCATTGCTGCCCATCATGGTTTGGAATCCCGAGTCCACGAAATTGCACTTCAAGTTGTGCTGACGTCCATGTCCTATGTTGTCGGGCGTCTGCGGGTGTACTGTGGGTATCCGTAGGTTTCGTTGGGTGTCTATGGGTGTCGGTGTGTGTTGGAGTGGTTGAAGTTAATCAAAACATGGCGCAACGCAACTCGTGCTCTTGAGCCAAGTTGGCGGACTTTGTCAGACTGCTTGACCACCCATGGGAGAGAAAGACTGGGAGGGAGACGGGAAGATTTCCTGTTTTTTTCGTCCTTTTTCTCCTCTCACTGTCATCTTCTGGCACCTCTACTGAAGCCTTGGCAATGCTTGAAAGCTTCAACTTGTCCCGCCCTTTACTTGCCTTGTGGTTTCCTTGTGGTTGCCAGATGTTCACTAGCAGAGCTTGTAACCCCAAAATAATCTTGCTCTAACGGAAGCTAAGGCTTCACGCCACATACCATTTTTCCAGGTGTGGGGGCTCCAACTTGGATTCACTGTATGACTTTGAAACCTTCAAATGTAGGGCGAATCACTACCTTGGTTAGCGCGACAAGCTTGACCGAGTGTGAGGGTGGAGGGACCCTCGCCACAAAGGCTCTCCAAGGAGCGAAAGATGCGCGCTCTTGCAACAAGAACATACCTGGTGCACCTATGTGAGTTCTATTCTACTGTAACTCTGACCCGTTCTTTGCAAGACTGTGCTTCAGACTTAGTATGGCTTTTGGCTTTAGCAGCAGCTTCAAAGAATTGAACGTGTCAAACACTGTCAAATCTCAAGAGACTGGCAACCCTGATCGTCTTGCCTGTGCTCTCTTTACAAGTAGAATTGCCTGTCATCTGCCTGCCAAGCTTGCCATACTAAGGCGTCCCTTTGAAACATTCCTGGACAGGACTGTTCTGGTCACACTATCCTCCGTGCCAACACTGCTTACACACCCAATCTTCAACTCTCATCCCATAGCTGGTGCAAAATTGCCTCCTCCTGATTCTCAAGGGGCAGCCAATCTTGTCCAGTCATGCCTGCCATCTTCCTCTTCGGAAACTTGGATACAAAGGCAAGAATAGTTGAAACCAGTATTTTATAGCCAGGAAATCCATGGAGAAAAATACTCCAGAGGTCGAGGAGAGACAGGTAGCAACGGGCCATGGGTTCTGCCAAGATGTTCTGCAGTTCGCATCAAATCACCTGGCAAGATCTGGCAACTTGCTGGCTTGACTGGAGTTTGCAAAGCTTGACCGGCCAAGTCATGCCTGGACCCCAAAAATAACTATTCTGGTGGGAATAGAATGCAAACTCCAGATCTTCACTGCAGTGTGCTTTCATGTCCTACTATATAATCCTTCCAGTCAGTGGCGACTCAGCGACTCAAAGCCCAAACAAAGCCTTAACCGACAAGCTCAACCTGGGGTTGCACAGGCAAAATCTGCGGAGGCCTTAGAAGTTCTCAGAAGTCGAGTTTCCAGGGCGGCAGCATTGCAAAAACAAGTCGGCTTTAGTACAACTAATTATATTGCATTCCATGTTTTGCAGCCTTACTAAGCAAGTGATGCTCAAAAACACCGCGAGTGTCTCAAATGGATGTGCATCTTTCGCTCTGAGGGCTCTGGCAGCTTCTCACCTCGCAGAAGCCGCACCGCAGCCTTGGCCTGCTCCATGGTGAGCCTTGGTTTTCGGGGACCCGTTGGCCCCTCGGTCGACGGCACCCAGGGCTTCAGTCGGTGCTCTCAGAATTCGACCCAATCTTGCGGTGAGTCTGCACCTGTTTCTAGAAACGTGACAGCAAAGTGGAGGTGACAGGAATTGGGCATACTGTGGTGCGGGAGAATCATCTACAAAGGCAAGTGAAGGGCATAGTTTCCAGAAGCGGACCAGCTCATGTGTTCTTCTTATATCCACGGGGCGTGGCCGTTGGCTCATGATGGTACATGTGGGTTCTTATTGATCTGGCTGCGGCACGATGCGTGGAGCCATAAGCAAAGTACCAGGTTTCCTGTCCTGCCAATGCACATCAAGACAAGCAAAGAAACGGTAACTTGTAACCAAACGGACCCGCGTCGCCAGTGTCGGCTCTTATGGCCCAAACGTGGCCAGGCCGATCGACGCTCCACGGGTTGCATGCAGATCTATGCACGCCGATGGAAGGCCCTGGATCCCTCTCCAGGTCTGCATCTGCCATGTTGATGTCATCAATGACAACCTCAGCTAGGTCTATGGAGGTATGGCAGGTTCATCAGGAAAAGAGCCTGCCAGCAGCACCAGCCCTCTTGCTGAGACCGCTGCCCATTGTTTTACCTGTGGGTTGGTACCTGAAAGGCAGCATGTCATTGCCATGATCAAGCCACAAAGATTATGTAAAAGCGGAAAGTGAAGATCACCAAGGCTGCTGCTTAACCACTGGCTGATCTCTCGGGCACGCCGTTCTGTGAACGCCTGACGATGACACGACCAACATGCAAAGTTTCAGGCGGTCACTCTCAGCAACTGATTGCATAGCAAGAGCCAGCCGCACTGCAGAACAGCATTTTACAATCTTTTACGACAGCAAAACATAGGAATCGTCAGATCCGGTCCGTCTTGCCACTCTAAGGATCGCGACACCTAACACCACAAGTGAGATGATGCTCACTAGGGCCGGAAGCATCCAGGAGACATCTTCCCTTGCAAGCGTTTCGGCAGGGAGAAACTGTCTCCACTTAGAGCTTGGGGAAATGAACTCCCGCACCATAGCCAGCGCGGCTTCTGGTTGATCGCGTGGAACCATGTGCCCAGCATTGAAAATTTGCACAAAGGTCAAGCCACCCGCCGATCGAACGCGGCCGGCAACACTTGAATTGGGGCCGGTGCGCAAGGGCTGTTCCGCTGCCTCCGCTGCCTCTGCCCAATGGTGGGCTTTGGACCACGATAAGCCCGCCATCCAATTCTTGGTGCCCAGCCAGTCGACCATCAGGTCAGTATCCTGGTCAAAGATATGAACATGGCATGAACCTTCCCTGTCATAGTGTTTCAAACCGAAAACACACAAGGCATGGTGTCTAAATCATACAGCTGAGCCCATATCCCCTGAGTAGGCCAGCACCGGCACACCGCGGTCTAGCAGTCTGTCCACCACATGGCTAGAGTCGCTCAGCCAGTCTCCGGAGATGGCGAAGTCAACGTCAATCACCAAATTGCAGACCTTCCATTTGAGCTGCTCTGACACACCCAGCGCGCGCTTCACCTGTGAGTAAACGAGTGGGCACAAAAGGAGAACTGCAATGTCAAAACATGTCAAAAGCCTGGCACCTCGACATCGTTCAAATACTCCTTCTCGAGTGTGAAATCATAGCAATTGATGGCGCTGCTCTCAGTGCAAACCTGACAGAAAACCAAACCTGCAAGATCCTGCAAGCCAAACTTCCATGCGTGTCTGCTGGTCCAACACACCCAAACCCTGAGACGTACCTTTCTGAGGTCATAGGGGTTCCTCCCAGATGACACTTCTGGGATAAGCTCCTGGGCTTGGATTAATGTTTCAAACACGGGGAGCTATGCAGGAGTGGATAGGTGCCATCTCATTTATGCCATCTCTTCTGGTTCAGCCAAATGTCCAATGTGGTGCAACTGTTGAAGGCCGAAAGGCATTGCCCAGGGATCCATGTCTCTGCTTGGCAGGACCGGACGCCCCTTAGACAGCTGGGGAGGGCTCCTAACATGGAATGGAAGACCTCAGTCGACGAAGAATCACCGGCTCCGAGCTCGCAAGGGCACCAATCTAGCACCTCTCGGCCAAGGTCAGGGCTGATTCGTTCACAATACCATGGACTGATCCTGAACATCGGAGCCGACTTGGGGAGACCAATTGAACCACCCTCCTTGTCCTTATGATGTGTTCCACTTCGGACGGGAATGCTGCAAAAGGTGATGTTGTTGAATTGAATGTCCTCCTTCTGGGAAGCCTTCAGTAAATGCCATCCAGGGCTTGGAGCCATATTGCCTCAGTCACATTCACAGAATGTACTACTGCAAGAGCAGCAGGAAATAATCCAATGACTTCAGCACGCTTCCAGGAAACAATTGCCACTATCCGCTTCAGAGGTCTTTGCAACTCACAGGCCATGGCACGAAGCAGGGCTCACCCATGCATTGCCCATGGCAACACCATGCAGTCTTGCCACTGGGTTGCCCGCATCAAAGGCTTCCAGCAGCGCAGTAGCAACAGCAGGGATGAAATGGCCTAGCAGCACATGTCAGTAACTGCACTCAAACACTGACCAAAGGATCTAAAACATCAAGCCGCTCTACGACTCTGCGACTCTTGCAGAGAGTGAAGCGCATGCCGCATCAAGCGCATGGCACAAAACATCACAGCTCAAGCCTGCGAAGGACTCACCCGTGATATACCTGATGAAGCGGACTCAAGCAACATGATCGTTGTTGAGCCACCAACTTCTGAAAAGCCAAGGAACAATGGAGCTCTCAAAAGTTCTGGGTAGACCCCATAGAAGTTCTGCATGAAGGCCAGCATTCGCTGAGAGACACCCTTCTCATCATAGACGGGCTCACCAGTGGAAAAGCCCACCTTCATGGAGAAATGTCTATTGCTGCCTAGGACTGCCTCATACATAACAAGGCCTATGGGCCTATGACACATTGGATTCCGACCTGGGCAGGCTGGTCCACCCAAAGCACCGAAGCTGCTTCCGTCCAGCTGAACGGGTTGTGCTCCAGCTTCCACTCATCGTGTCCCTGCTCGTTCTTGAACTTCTCCTGAAACATGTCAAGATTACCATGCACAGCTCAAGGGACAAAGTTGAACAAAAGTCTTTCAACGGATCAGCGCCCCTGCCTTTGGCCTACAAGGCCCATTCTCTGAGAGCATCGCTAAAATGGATGAACATCCAGGCCCACCAGTCATCCTTGTCACAATGAACACTCACTGCCCTCCATCTATCGCGGGTTCACTCAAAAAACTGGGTTCAGGCCCCGACAATCTTTCTCATGTGTTTCACCCATGTTTCTCCATTAGCTTAAGCTGACTCAGGCTCCATAGGATCAATGGTGAAGCATGGCGAGACTTCACCAGCGAGTAGAAGTAGCGGGCATGAGGACCAGCCCCCAAGTAGCCGCTGGATGATGAAGCATCACCTCACGCGATGGAGGCAGTCAAAGGGGGTCTGAGGAAGGACCCCCCCTCGCACTGTAGAGACTTGAGGCACTTTTCCGTTTCCTTTGCCGTCGTCGGTCCAGGTTGCAAAGGATGTTTCCAGTGACTGGCTGGAGCAGCAGGAGCACGGCCCATCTGGGCCACATCAGCACATTCACAAGTCCTAAGGCTAAATGTACTTGACCGCCTGTTGCTACTTGTTCTTCACATCATCCGTGAAGCACATATATGACTTTTTGGGTGGTGCAACCAACCATACAGAACCCCCTCTTACAGATCGGTGCTTGTTGAAATCAACGAGCCAAGGTGGCAATCGGAAATGCGTAAACATCTAAAGCTATGTGAAGCTGAATGGGTGAACGGACACCTCTGAAAATCTGCAGGGTTCCAGTAGAAACTTTGTTGTCGGGATTTGCATTCTTCCCTTGCCTTGAAAGGGTTCTCTGTGCCCATGTCTCTCTGCAGGTCTGTGGGTGTCCATGTGGCACCTGAAAAGCGTTTTCAGCCTAAAACAGTCTGAAAGAGTCTGAAAGCTCCCACCCCATGGAGAAAGCTGAGAGTCAGACAGGGCCGCATCTCATATTCGTTTAAGATGGCATCCACTCCGTCCCCTACAATATTCCACATTCACCGTGACAAGTCATGACTGATGCAAACAATGCCCATTAATCATTTTGTCAGCTTTCGACAATTTGTGCAGTCTCGAAATTTGGCGACAGACTCATAGGCTGGTCTCGCCACCATTCAGAAGACAGAACCTGGGTGCTCTCAGCTGGCCACAGGACCACGCAAGCTCAATGGCTTTGTCGTGTCTCAGTGAAGTACAATGATGGCTCCCGTGGTCTCCACTATGTGCCGAAGAGCCAGCCTCGGAGGTGAAGTCTATTAAAGTATATATATATACTATTATATACTGTATATAAGTTGGCTTAGAGCCTTAGACTGATGTGCAGGTACAAGCTCGATTCATGCCCCAACAGTGAACCATCACACTATGTCTTTTTGGATCTTTTTGGCTAAGGCGTAAACAAAGCTCCTGAGATGAAGTCAGCAGTCTCGGCCCGTAGAGCCCATTCACCATCCACCTGTGAAGAAAGTGTGCTTGGGCCTTTGCAGGTCTCAGAACAAGTGCATTAGGCGCAAGCCATCATGGAGCGAAAGCCACCGGCCGTTAGAGGTCGCAGCCTCACGGTGGCGGAGTTTCAACAAATCTTCGAGAAGGGCCCTGAAATGAGATGCGGACACTCCATCCACGTCCAGGAAAATCACTTTGCTTGGGTCCTCTGCCTCGTGAAACTGTCAGCTGAAACGCGAGCACCAAACCAGAAGTACTGAGGCACAGTCGGGCAAAGGCGGAAACCGGTGTTGTTTCCAAGTGTCCTTCCTAAGGCAAGGCTGCTCCGAGTTCTGAATCCTCCGGTCACAGCTGTGTGCATTGGGCTCTGCACTCTTTGATTTTCATTGCTAGCGCCTCATCCTGACAAAAGGGAAATTTCACAGAATGATGCGGAGATCCGCCTGTACACTACTTCCAGCTTCTGTCATGGCCTTCTTTGGGTCAGGTGGCGGGAGGCCTCCATAAAGACTCTCTAGAAGGTCATCGGCCTACAAATTCAGTTGTCAAAGGATCAACTGGACTTCACTGAGGCGTGTGCAGCACACTGAATGCTGCGCTTCTGCACCATGCTCGCATGGATTCACGCTTTCTTGTGCAAGCTCCTTTGCTTTCTTTGCAGCCGCAGCAGCCGCAGCTTCGTCCTTCAGCCTCTTAGCGTCCTTCTGCAAGGACAAGTGGAACTGAAAAGGGAATCATCTGACTATATCTGACTCGTATGGCCAACTCATCAACGTTCCTAAGCCTTTATCATGTTTTTGGGCGATTCCGCCACCCACTTATGGAGTCACAACAATAGTTTAAAGGGTCTTGAGTCATGCGATCTGGCACCTCCAATTTCCGCTTCTTTCTAGCTTCTTCCACGCCAGCTTTGACTCGCTCAGCTCGCTCCTAGCGTGGTGTGGTGTCGCGTGGTCTTGGCTCGTACCATTTCTCCACCCGAAAGCTCCTTGGCCGCCTTTTCCCTTTCAGCCTTGGCACAGGACTTTCCGCCTCTTTTTCCAAAAGCCCCCACCCCACAAAAAGGTCTCTAGTCCTAAAGCAGTCAGAGGTCTGTGGCTAAGTTCCCCTACGGCGCTAGCAGCTGTGCGGGCCTTCAACTGCGTCATGGGGTCTTTGGCCTCAGATTGCAACAAGAAAACACGATCGAAGAAGCTTCCAAAACTGAATTGTGGACACCTGCAGAATGGCTGAAGGTGCCAACCCAGCTCTTTTTTGACTCAAGGCCATGTCCGACAATCAACGCAGCCTTCTTCCCCACGGGTGCTGTGTGCAAGAGCTTGAACCAGTCACTGCAATTGCGCCCAACCTCTTCAGGAGCAATCAAGCACATAGTTGCGCGGGGGAGAGTTGCCGACAAAGTTCGAGCCACTTGTGTTGCAGCTTCAACTTGTGTATCTAAACTCTTGCCCCATGGCAGGTTCGAAGCCACCAAGAGACCCTCTCCCCCTTCACCCAGACCGGCCCGTGCTGGGATGGGCCATGGATTAGTGGCATCCCAATGCCTCACGCCAATTCCAGGAAGCGGATCTGTTGGTGGCGGCTCATCCAGAAGTTCGTAAGCTTGGCCTGGGAATGCAGCTGCAAGATTTGCAAGAGATCTCTTTGACATTGTAACGTTCACGTCCCCTGCGAAAATTGGCCAAGCAGACACGCAGTACTTTGCTGCGGCTGCCACGGTACCAGTTCCACATGTTGCATCCAGAAAAGCCCGGGGTTCTCTCCCCAAGCGGTGATGTACCCGTAAACCTATCCCCAATAGCGCTAAAGCAGCTAAGGGTTCCAGGGCAGCACTGTAGTCTGGGAAAGGTCGAGATCTCCAAATAGAGCCAAAAGCAGTTGGATTAAAACTCTGACGGCCTAACGAATCCTTCGCAAGGAAGTGCAAGCCTTCAGAATTGATCATCTCCACCGTCACTAGTCTTGCTGAGGCATGTCTGTCTGTCTCATCTGGAGATGGTCGGATCGGTCCCGAGATGACACGCCCAAGGCCAGCAGCCAGGAATGAGGACGACTGTGTGAATGGAGCCAGGGACTCATAGCGGACTGGGTGAGGCCCTTCATGCTCCAAGCTCCATCCATCGGGGAAGTTCAGCTTTGCCGCAGCTTCAATCACTTCCGCTGGCTTTAATGGCAAGGTCAGTAGCTGAAGGCAGCGTCGGATCCCAGCAGCATGCCAGACACATTCTCTGTCAAAGGTTCCTTCGGGCAAGATCTGAATTTTCTCCTTTTGATCTTCCGTCGCAGGAGCTTGATTCGGAGTGGCCGGCATGGGTGGGACTGGACCTCGAATCCTGAACAGTGCCGGTGCAATCTCCTCCACCGACACATTCACAAAGTCAGTGCTTTGCCACGCTTCTTGCAGGTCAAGTGCCAGCACCCTCTCCCATCGATCACACGCACACACCATAAGCAAAGGTTCCTCCAACGCAAAGCGTGCAAAGTCCACAGACGCTTTCTGCATGGCCTCCTTTCGAGCAGCTGCTTCTGCAGCTGCAGCAGCTAGAACCGCATCCGGTACACGCTGGCGCTTTGATGGCTTTGCCGGCGTGCAGAACTTCGGGCGCCAAGCGGACAAACACTGCAGCGCTATGCGCCTCTCAGGCAGTGAGCAAACACGGAAGCGCCCCAGGCGCTCCAGCTGAACGCCTTGGCGATTCCACTGAAGTTCACCGAAGAAAGAAGAAACGCAACCAACCAACCAACCAACCAGACAGACAGACAGACAGATGCGAAGACGGAGACGGACACGGACACGGACACAGACAGACAGACAGACGGAGACGGAGACGGAGACGGAGACGGAGACAGAGACAGAGACAGAGACAGAGACAGAGAGACAGCGCACACACACACAAACATTCGAGAAATGCATAAGTTTCCCACCTGTGTCCACAGCTGCCTGACCCAAATTTTCATAGCCGTTCACCTCAATGGCAAGCAGAACTGGGCTAGTATGGCCTGAGGCGCTAAGGCATTGCAAAGATAGGAAGGTGTTTGTGTGTGTGTTATCACCTCCCTTACCTAGGGACACTATTTTTTCTACCACTGCTTTAAGTAACTTTACCGCAGAGTGTGCAGCACCAATGCAGGGGGCGCGACTGACAGGCACTGCCCAATGAAGACACTGTCAGCTCGTGGTGAAGCAATGTGGGACGCCGCATTGTGTACCTGCATCAATTGTTCAAGTCACTTTGATGATTTAAACAATACTGCTCTTGGACTTTGTCGCCTTGCTGTTCCTCACAGGGCCATTTCACAGGTGAAGTTCTGAGCGCTCTAATCTGGTATTGCAGTAACTAATCTTAAAGTGCTAATGCTCACCGCAAAACACTGAAGTTCAGCTCCACGGAGCACTTATCTCAAATGTGTGTGCCAGGGGCTTTATATACCTGCTACTACCTATCCAGCTCCTTCTGTTTACCAATTTTGTACAGATCATTGCAGGGGGGCGGCAAAGACGTGATATTCAGAGAGGACGCTCTCTGAACCTAGCCGCAGATGTCAGTGATTTAAACCATACTTTTTAGCAAGTTTAGCCGACTTTCTGACCTTTTTGTTCCTCACAGGGCCATTTCGAAGGTCACAGGTTTTGAGCGCTCTAGTCGTCTGGTAATGCTGTAACTATTTGTGTATATTGTATATATCGTACAGAATCTTCTTCCTTGGAGCTCTTTCTCAAGTGTGCGCGTTTGGTTGACAAGTAACAGATGCCAAGCTCCGAAGCCATGGTTCACACAGCATACTGAACTCCGGCACCTCAGCAAACATTGCGGGATTGTCATGGGGCCCACGGCCCACGGTGGGTCTCTCTTGGTAGATGCATCGCACATTCCCCAAAATGATCAGTCAAGTCTCTGCCTCTGCGTTACCGGCTCCAGGGGGCCAGTAGGTAGCGACAAAATTCCCAGGCCCTTCGACCAGGGGGACCTAGCAACATGGGAGCGACGAGACCGTGCAAGCGCCACGGGCCAAAGAGGCTCATCTTTGCACCAAACGAGAGAGTTCACACGAGACTGCCTGCAGATGCTTGTCAAGAGAGGCATGCACCCAAGACCTGGGCAGGGCACTCAAAAAAGGAAGCCTCGCAAGGCCTCCTGCAGAAACCTCCCTCGTCTTTTGCCCAGACCCGCACTGCCCCGTTAAGACGAGCGGCACGACTTTGGGACCCTCGCCCACTCCGTCAAGGGCTGTTGGCACACCAAGGCTGTCATAGTTACATCGCCCGTGGATTTCAACCACCTTGGCATTGCAAATGCCACTCCATCAATCAATCATGGTGTGGCACTCAAGCAGCCAAGATTCGTTTCCAGCCTCGTCCTTCTCCACGGATTCGCAGGAGACAACGTATGAGTGCCTCAACCTGACAGCAGTTCCCAGCCTGAGCAAAAGATCCGAGAGGGAAAGCCGCAAACGTCAACAGCTCAGAGACTGCGGTGGTAACAAAGGAAATCCAAACTAGGCACTTCAGAGATTGTCAGAAATTGGGATCAAACTTGGGCGGTCTTTAACTTGTGCCATGTGGCTGTGAACCAACTCCATCCTCAGTAGAGCAAACAGTCGCAAAAGCTATCAAAATCAAAGGCATCCATCTATGTATATATGTGGCTGGGCACTACTGATGGGTGATAGGCAAAAAGGATCTGCTATGTTATAAATATAGAGAGAGAGAGTGTGTGTTTGTGTGTGTGCCCACGCCTGTTTCTAAAGAGCTTGCATAGACTAATTCACCTTCGGTGGATTTCATGTTGCAGGGGGGTCAGGCTTCCAGTGACTAACATGATCCAACGAAGCTGGGTCACTGGAAGGGAAGTGGTTGAGGACGCTCAACCACGTGCCTGCATCGAGCTACAGCTCCCATTTTTCACCGATTCTCCGTCTCACCTTGGTTAAACAATACTGTTGAAGCGGACCTCTCCACC